CAAACTTATGGAAGGGAAAACATAATTAGCGTTGTATAATCAAAACAATTCACAATGACTCTACGGACCCAAACCAAACCCACTGTCCTCTACCACAATGAGTTACCACTAAAATGGGGGGGGGGGGGGAGAAAGTACAAGTGCTAGCAAGGAGGTAAATAGTAGAATTGCAATAATCTGGGGATACTATAAAATGGTTCCATTTGAGAACAGTTTGAAAGTTTCTTTAACCCCTAAGAAAATGATTAAAAAATAATAATAAAAAAAAGAAAGTTTCTTTAAAAGTTTAACAAGCACATATATCTCCATATAACCCAGTCCACTCCTAGGACTCACCCAAGGGGAACACAACATATGTGGCAGGCAACAGCTTATATACAAATGTGCATACAAGAGCTTTATTTTTATAGCCCAAACCTGGAAATCAAGAGTCCAGCAATAGATGAATAACTGATAACAAATACTACGCACCAATAAAAAGTGTTTGATTAATCTCAAAATAATTGTCCTGAAGAGAAGAAAGCTGGCAAAGAGCATATGCATTAAATTATTTTGTTTATGAGTGGAATCAAATGCAAGATAAGCTTATGATAACAAAAAGCAAATCAGTAGCTGCCTGGTGAGAGGAAGGATATAAGGGAGGTTCTACAAAAGGATTTGGCACAGTTTTATATAATCACTGTCAGAGAGAAAACCTGGGTTTTTGCATTTGTTTTTTAATGAGCAAGGTACCTAGATGGTCCAAATAGTTTTCAATGAACTGCTGAAGCTAGAGGTCGCTGATTGAACTCACACAGCAGATCTCAGAAGAAAAGGTCTGTGATCTGTTTCCGCTAAGATGATAATCAAGAAAACTCTAACACAATGGTTCTTAACCTGTGGGCCATGACCCCTTTTGGGGTCAAACAAGCCTTTTACAGGGGTCACACCTAAGACAATATTTCCTATGGGCTAGTGAATGATGGGAGGAGTGCAGAGTGGAGACCCAGAGCCCATTAGTAGGCCACTGGAGATCCCCTTGCAGAGGGGTCTCCGGGAGGAGACGGAGACGGAGCCAGTCAGGGTGCGATGTAGCAACGATGAAAAATACAACTTTCCTCTAGTTCCTAAATGTTTCCTCCCCACTCCCACTACCATGACTCGAATTCGACCTTGCAAGTCTGGCTAGACCAGAGGA